CTGAAGAAGATGTTACAGAAGTAGGGTGTGAGGCGTTTCTTTAGAGCAGCTTACAGGCTGAGTGGGAATGGCATTGTTGAAAGACATCACCGGACAATTAAGGCTGCATCCGAAAAAGCCAAATTTTGCCATAAGAAGCTATCTTTCGGTATAATATGTTGCTCAAAATGGGCCAGGATGCAGATTCTGTACCACAGAGTAATCTTCAAATACGAGTGACAGCATCCAAGAGCAGGGTCAGGAGCCACAGGGGAGAAACCGACTAATATAAGAATTAGAGATGAAGTGTGGGTTAAACCACCTGATGGTCACTGCACCATCTGCTGGTGAAGAGGCACAGTGACCAACATTCAATTGCGGAACAACGTGTTGATTGACAGTATTCCACAATATATCCTGTATGTGTGACAAGTTTCCAAAGGTGAAGCCAAAGATTATGAGCTGTGTGAAGATCATCAAGCCAGTGACTGTGACTGGAGTGAGAAGAATCACGACAGGAAAAGGCATCCTTCTGGTTGGACAAGCGATCATAGAGATCCAGGGGAGGGAGGGGCGGTCGTGTGGTTGGATGGAATCACAAGGAGGGACATCTGGGGGTGCTAGTGCTCCATTCTGGTGTGCCTGTATATCTATCATCTGGGTGGGTGATTGGTGATTTCCCATTATAAATAGACCATCATGGAGATAAGAGATCACTCTCAAGGAGTACATCATACTGTACGTACAGTTGTGAGAGGCAGGGGAGGAATGAACAACAAAGTGGATATGGAAAAGAGAATGAAGAAAATACCGAGACCAGTATAAAGAGGTTATTAATTTCTTTTGACCACACTTCCCAAATACCCAATTTATATTTATTATATATATATATATATATATATATATATATATATATATATATATATATATATAGTGTGTGTGTGTGTGCGTGTGTATATGTTTTAGACCAGATATGTATCCTCAAGAAAAAGGCTTAGGTATAAAGTTTCCACTTTCCTCTGATTTCTAATATGGAATTGTTTTTTTTTTTAAAGAGCTTGTGGTATTGTAACTATTCATAGTATTTATGTCATTCAAACTGTTGTCTTCATCTTTATTGTTATACTAGCAGTAGAGCCCGGCGTTGCCCGGGGATATAACAGTAAGAGATAGATCAAGTATCCACCATCATAAAGACTGAAAAATAAAATTGACAAAGATTATTGTTTAAGGTTGACAGACACGCATGTCTTAATTAGTTTTTTTTTTTTTTTACGAATTTGTCAAACTCAAACAAAAACATTGTTTTCAATCGTTATGAGTCTATCGATTGAATAGAATTTTATCATAAACAATTGTCTTGTAAATGGAATTTTTAAAGCATTCTGAATGTAAAAATAAAGAAAAAAGTGTGCAAGACAATAAGAAACACTACATGCCAAAAAAAAAGTGAAGTTTTGTTGAAATCGGTTGAAAAATGTAGGTAGCCTTTCTCTAATCTTTTAGTTTTACAATTTATGATTTTTACTTATTGAATACAGTAAAAAAAATTGCATATTTTGCTTGTGGTGATTCATAATTAGAATTCTGATTTGAATATATTTTCCACTCGTTTCCAATACAAAAAATATTAACTTTATTTTGGTTTATTAATTATGATCTAACAAATCTTATTCATTTAGTAGCCTTTCTGTAATAATAATCTTTTACAATTTATGATTTTTACTTATTGAATACAGTAAAAAATTGGACACCATGTGTATTTAAAGTAGTTTCCCGTTCGGTTATTATTTTTAGTTAGGACTTGTGTATGTTTAGATTTCATTATCTTTCCCTAAAGATAAAGAATTTATCCGATGTTTGTATTCGTACAATCAGTAGAGATAGATTATTGTTTAAGGTTGACGGACACGCATGTCTTACCTGAATTAGTTTTTTTTTTTTTTTTTACGAATTGGTCAAACCCAAACTCAAACAAAACATTGTTTTTCAATCGTTATGAGTCTCCTGATTGAATAGAATTTTATTATAAATAATTGTCTTGTAAATGGAATTTTTAAAGCATTCTGAATGTTAAAAATAAAGAAAAAAGTGTGCAAGAGAATAAGAAACACTACCTGCCAAAAAAAAAAAAAAAAAAAAAAAAAGTGAAGTTTTGTTTTATCGGCTGAAAAATATAGGAAATCCACTCCCATATTTAAAGGAACCCACATACACAAACAACCCGATGTGAGTTGTCCCCCTTCCATTTTCACGATGTCTCTTAATCGTGTTTTCAAATTGATTTTGTGCAAAAACAATTATATTTTTCCCATTTTTGGCGCTGTTAGAACCACCACAAGGTAATTTTATGTAGTCCTGTGAAGTTTTGTTGAAATCGGTTGAAAAATGTAGGAAATCCGATCCAATATATAAATGTTACAGACACACACACACACACACACACACACACACACACACACACACACACACAATCTGTGTTTTATAATAAGTAAGATTCACAATGTCTTGGACATTGTATACTCTGGCCCTCAGTTTGAAATTCCAGTGTATGTCACCTGAAGAAGGCCAAAGCATACAATGGCTGAAACATTGTGAATATGGCAATAAAAATGAGGACAACAGACCAAATGATGTAAATAGCTTACCCTTAGTTCTATTCCATTGAATCTTTTGATCTGGCTAATGTATGTGATAACAAATGTATATTTTAGCCCTGTTAGGAGGATGTACAGGTTCTGTAGGATTATATCAACTCAATTAGACCAACTATGTAATTCATCAAGGGGAAGAAAGATATGAACAAATTTCTAGTAATTTGTATGGTGAGAAGTTTTTGTACATAAACACATATACAGGGTTAGGTCCACATTTTGATTCTAACTCTCTTTTCTTTATAAAGAAAATATTAGTTCAAAACCAGATATGAGTCATGAGCAACAATGTCATGAAGATGAAAAATGAGCTAAGGGATATTATTATTATCAGCAACAATGCAGCTACAGCAAACACTTCATAGGTAAGAGTTGGGAATGAATGCATTTGAAGGATTTGAAGATATTGCATCGAGGTGCTTTTCAATAGTAAATCAATACTTCACAACCTTATTACTAGGATTGATCGCTTGTGGAAAAAGGTTATGATAAAAGGGTGCATTTATAATATGCCATGTTTAAATGTAGAAAAGTATATAAGATGGAAACCAACCATCTTCTTAAAGTCAGTTTCAAAGGACAGAAAAAAACTATAATCAAAGGAGGGACACAAAAATCTGGTATAGCAAACCTTATCTATCTAGTAAAAGAGAGGAGCACATATCTGGACCTTCTCCCTCAGAGATTAATAAGTGACAGGCATCACTACTGGAGAGTGAGAAAATTGAAAGAGACAGCAGATATCAGTTTGCTGGCCAAGTACATAAGTTAGGTTTGTATAGATTTCAGCACCATTTGGTTCCCTTTTTTTTTTTTCAACTCTCTTATGAATAGATTATAACTACCTGGGTATATAGGTGGTGATAATGGTTGCATCTGTGCCTATAGCATTGGTGAAATAAACAGATGTGCCAAAAATCATGAGATAGGTGCGTAGTGAAGTGTAGAACCCTTTCTAGCCTGGTGAAATGCAGCAACTCAACATTGCCTTGTTTCCACATGACCTGTGAAGAGAGTTTGAACCATGCTGTCATGATCATGATCAAAAAGCTTCCTAATATTTTTTATGTACAATGAATCTTGTATACAAATAGATGTCTCCATAACATCTAATAAATGCTTGATTTAATTTCATATTGAGTGAATGTGATGGAAACAGCTTTTGTTAGAAGTCTCAAGAATTCTCCTTAAACCAATTCTAGGCAACATAGGCAACCAATGACATGATGCATCATCCTGCAGGAATAACTTCCTGTCTATGAATGGTTGCAAATGGTCATGAAACAGTGCAATACTTTTGTCATCAGTCAATGGCAATGTTTAGTCAGACCAACCTATATGACATAAATACACCCTTCACCAATATGGAACCATCATTAACTTCCATAGTTACTTGTTGACAATTGGGGTCCATGGTCTTCTATTATCTGTGCCACACCCAAACCCTACCATCATCAGGAAACAACAGGAACCATGACTAAATGGACTACACATCTTGCAAATCCTCCAGGGTCCAATTAATGCTGTTACAAGCCCAGGTGATGTGCTGTGTTTGATGTCATAGTGTTAACAGAGATAATGGAAGCTAAGGAATGATGAACTGACTTGCTGGAAATGCTCTTGTTACCTCCTGCATTTAATGTGGATATGATTCAGTACCAACATCCCATTTTTGTTATAAAAAACACTTCTAGCCAGATACCTTTGGTCACGATCATTAAAGACCTGTGATTAGTCACTGTGCTGTTCATGATATACATGTAACTCTGTACATTAAGGGATGTTAAATGTCTACACAATTTCAGAAATGAAAAGAACCATCCACTTGACACTTGCTATCATGCTACATTGCTATGAAAAACTTAGCTGGTGTTCACACTGACTCAACAGATGTTAGAGTACAGCTGATATAGGTTGATGTCAAAATATGGTGGTGCCACCTACCATTACCTTTACATACTGCTATACCATGATTTTTGGTATATCAGTCTATTAGCAAGCAGTTTTCTGGTGTTATTTTTTTCTATCCTTACAGATTATACACTTGATGAAGGCTTAATAGATCAGCCAAAACATTGTGTTAGCACTCTCACAGAAGCAAAGATTCAATCGTGTGAACACAAGCTGGAATATGCAAAGATTTTTTCCATGTTTCTTGAAATCACATTTAGATTTATAACTGAGAGAGAGAGAGAGAGAGAGAAATTTAATTTCTTCTGACCAGCAATAAAGAAGCCATTTTTATTTGAAGAGATAAGAAATCTAAGTATATAAAACTAGATCACACATACACACTAAAAGAAGAAATTTCTTTATCCAATAAAAAATGATGATTGTAAATATATGGAAAAAAAAAAAGCTCATCACCTTGGTATCCTTTGCATAGTACAATTTACGTCCTTTCAATTTGAAATACTTTCTTCGGTAGCCCTGAAATAAGAAAAACAGATATGAAAAGACAAACTTACAATTTGTATCAACACAAAATTAATATCTGAAAAATATTATATAAACAAAGAATTACACTAATGTACACTAATAAGTACAAATTCTTGAAAGAACATTACTCAAATGTATTTTATTATGTATTGACTTTTAATGATGCAAAATCATGAACTTTGTTGCAAGCAATATTTGGGCTCTCTAACAAAAAGTTACATTTCAGAATCTGAGATGAAGATCTTAATAATAATTTCAGCTTTCAATTTTATTGGAAAATAACTTATTGCACTTTTTTTTTTTCTTCACATCCAAAGAAAATACTATCTTCTCTAGTTATTAGAATATACCTAAAATAGAATTATCTAAAAATTACCATGACATTATCACTTTTTAAATAGCTGTATTTATACTCTATAAAGAAAAATTAATATAATATTAGGTAATAACTTGGTTTGAAAGAGTATATAATCAAGAAATAAAAGTAATTAGTCATATCCTGGCAAAAAGTCATTCTTAGTTGATACAATACACAATAATATTCACTCTACCAAGTTTATTCAATAAGTTCATTTTCAATGAAGGATATTTTGAAAGTTACTTATCCAATACAAAGTGAAAATTTTTACCATTAACAACAAAATAACGCAGGTTTTCTCAACACTGCTTCTGTTTATTTGTTATAGTTTTTGTATTATTATATTTTTCAGAATAAAAATACACTATAAGAATATTTTTTTCATTATTTAACATGTCTTATTTGTGAAAAAATAGTGTAGCCTTTAAAAGTTTTAGAAATAATAAAATTTGCAAAATCATTATAATGCTTTACATGAGGCATATAATCGTCTGATAAAAACTGGGGAGGTTAGTTTACAAAAGGTTTAATAACAACTGTAAAAATCATTTCAATTTCTTTTAAAAAACCATTAATCAACATGACTTGAATCATTTTAAAAAATTGCTTTGTTCTTTTATAAATAACAAGTTAAAGAAATGAGTACAGATTTCATGCTAAGAGCCTTGAAGTATATGAATTTCTGTTATCAAATGCAGCAAAATACAAAAATCAAAAATAGAAATGCAAGCATTTCTGGTTTTACAATTGTGATAAATTTCCCCAACAGTATTGTTTAAAATTTTAATTACCAACATTACAAAAAAATGCAATGTTGATAAATTATTTTGGCATGTGAACCAGTACTTTTTGAACATTATCAACATATTTCAAATAAATACTAATAATAGTAACCATGATGATTTGGGTCATTATAATCAGGATATAAGTTTTTTTATACTAGTAATACTATTGCATCTTTAATAAAAAGATTATAAAACTGTTTGAATAGAGAATTATTGGAACTTTTCAAAATGAAAATCGAAAAGAAATAAGTAAAAAAATATAAGCAATCATTGAGGATGGATATATCTCAATGAAATGCTTTGTAATAGAGTAAAACAAATTCAAAAAGTACTTTGTTTCAGTTGCTAATTCTTGGAGAATTGGATTCTTCTCTTGGCTACTGTGTAATCAGAGCAGAACAGTTATAAAAATAGAATTAAGATCAGATCACAGACTTATTTAATCTGTTCATTCATTCCATGATAATGTTCATAATCATTATAATTTTATTAATAAAAAATAGTTCAGTTGGTCAGCTACTCAATTTTTCTAAATATAATAATGAAACAACATTACTGACTGTTGAGAAAAGGGCTGGTATTTTACAGTGAGAAAGGTTGCAAGATTTGCTTAGTAATATGATCTGTGTAATTGGCAGAGGAAGGCTAATAATTAACTTGATACTATCCATTTAAAAACTTGTGTAGATTGGCATATCCAAGTGTTCCTAACATTCTACTGGTTTGAATAAAAACCCTGTTATACTTAAGAACCTTAGCCCCAAATCTATTAACAAGGCTGTTGATCACCTACCAGAAACAGCCTCCTGAATGACAAACAGTATGGATTTCTAGGTCCACTGCTGATGTTTTTAAGGTCATTACATACAGAATCATTGGTAGCTTTATCATGTGATCAATTACCCTAGATATCCCAAAAGCTTTTGACAAGGTGTGGCATAGGGTGTTGTTAGACACACTCACCAGCTATTGCATCTCTGGAAGAGTCTATACAATTTTAAAGTCCTTTCTCTCAAGCAGGTTTATAAATTGCCAGTCTTCTGGAGCCCACGTAACCAAAGCAGGTGGCCTCAGGCCTCACTCATCAGTCTTACTCTCCTTCTGATTTTTATCAATGATCTGCTTAGAAACAATCTCATTCTCTAATAAACATCTATTCAAACACAACAGTTTATAAAAGTACATCCAAAAATCAACATGTTCAGAGCCTCACAACTGATTTTTCCTGACCTAGCTCTCACAGTTTAAAGATAGAGGAGCTGGCTTGTAACTTTCAATACCTCAAAAAGCAAGCTAATATCATTTCATCCTCACTGATCAGACCATGTTTCCTCTAGTTATGATGAATGACTGTGCTCTCAATCAGGCTCCTTGCTTTGAATGCTTACTAAGATTCATGCCAAATAGAACTCGTATATATTATTCATCAATAAAGATGCTGGAAAAATGGTCAGCTTCTTGTACCACTCCAGAAAGTACTTAACACCTACCATGCTTTATCTTTACAAGAAGTATTGCTGTCATATCTGGGCTGGAGTTGCCCAATCATCACTTTCCAGTATCCAAGCTCATTTATACAGACTAATGGAGAATGACTTATTTTTCCACTCTGTAGATGCAACATAGCAAGCCTGTCAATACACTATTGCTTTTTCCATGTCAAGTGTTTGGAGGAGCTCCAATCTTTAGTTCCATTACTTCAAACCTTTCCAACATAGACCTGCTATGCTACTACAGAGTCAAATCAAATAGGCTAGTTAAGACCCATCATATTACATCCACAAAGTTAAACCATGCTCATTTCTTCTATATTTCAATTGTAAGGAGGAAGTTCCATTCAGCATTTTCTCCAGAACTATGACTTTGTGGAACAGACTCCTATATGGATGCTTCTCCAAATGCCACAATCTTAACCTCTTCAAGTCAATGGTCAAGTGTTACTTATTCTCCATATCCTAATGATATTCACTTCTTACTCTTACATTGCCACACACCTTATTCAATAACACTCTTCCTTGAGTGGCTCTTGAGCCTTGTATTGTGTGGACATTAGTAAAAAAAAAAAAAATGTAGCTGAACAATGCTTTTACTGAGAAATTAAGTACAAGAAAATATCTTAAGAATTTGTTAAACTTCTGAAATGAAGCCTTTATTTAACTCTTTTGGTATTTGTTTAAGGTCTTATATTAGTATATATCTTATAATTCTAGTCCACACTTAACAAAAAAACCCAAAAAAACAACCAAATTACTTAATTTGTCTATTTGGACAGAATGAAATAATCAAACTCAGTAGAGACAGGTAACAAATACTAAAATAAAAAGATCTGACAAAACACAGAGATTAATAACAAAAGCTATTATTGTTGCCTACCATTTAATCAGAAGTCATTTTAGACAATTTTGGTTTAAGAAGTTTCCTTTGGGTTTAAAATGAAAATAATATATTGTTAATGATAAATCAACATTTATCTACTAACATATATTAAACCAAAATTTAAATTTTTTATCACCAGAAACACACGTCATTCTAAATAACTATGTTAAAATATTAAGGATAGAGGTTTAAAATACATAGCAAGATAAGTTGTTTACTAAAAATAGATTATTTAAGATTTCACTTGTCAAAGTTGGAATGTGGAGACGAAAGAAAAGAACACTTGCAAATATTGTAATTTCTTTCTGCTCACCTGGTGAAAAGGAAGCTAATGAATGAAGCTATTGTCAGCACAAAGGGCATGCAATCACATTTCTTTATATTTGTGAAAATATAGTTTCAAGGCTATGGTTCCCAATGTAGTGTGCAATTCAAAAATGAGTTAAGAGTGAATTTCTTTCTAGTGAGTCTGTGTATGTTAATATATATGATGCATATACAGTATGCATACATAAAAATATTTGTGTATACGTATGTAATTATAATTATATATACACACACACACATATATATATATATATATATATATATATATATATATATATATATATATAAAGTAAATTGACACCATTTCATATTTTTTATTTTGTGTATGCGTATTGTTTGTTTTTGATTTTGTATAGTAGGGTCAGTTGGGCCACTGACTGTGAGAAAAAGAGCACCATGATGCAAATCACTCCACCACAAATTTGGAAATGGCATGCCTTACTGCTTGACATTTGCATCAGAAGGTCCAATACAAACATTTCAGAGTGTTTGGGTGTCAATCTGAAGACAGTGCAGAGGATTCGGAAAGTTAGATTAGTCTAATGGCAATTACAAAGGTACAGCAGCTGATCATTCTGATAAGAAAAGCTCTCGAATTTGTTGGTGAGATCCAGGCCATGATTGAAAATGATTCCTCCAAATCAATCAGGATCATAGCTAGGGAGGTAGTGCTGCCCTGGGTCAAAAAGTAAACACTACTTTTACAAAATCCAGTTAATTAAACATTGGCATAGTTACTCATCATTCCTTGAACCTCCATTATAGACAAAAAATGAAAGCAATAAATTTAAAAATCTATTAAAATTCCATTTTTGTCCTGTAGATTTGGTTCAAAGTAAATTAATAAACTTAAAGATTAATTAACTAGATTTTATACAAATAATGCTTACTTTTTGCTTACAAATAGAAAAATAACATTTATTTACACATGGTAGCCAATGAGCTGTCAAAGTCAACAACAATAGCCTTCTCTGTCACCTCAAAGTGCACATAAAATTTAAATAAGTACAAAGAACCAACCATCCTGCAATCTAAAAATTGGTATTTAAAAATAAATTATTTTTAACCTTGTATAACAAATAAACTCAGAACATAATTTTTTATTCTATTGGCTTTTATGAAACTTAGTAGAATTAATAGTTTTT